CAGGATGGCCGAGGTGCCGGGGGGTGGCCGGCAGACCGCGCGTTACCCCAGGTCCATCCGAGCCAGGATGATGCCTGAGGTGCGGGGGGGGGGGGGGCGGCAGACAGCGCGTTGCCCCAGGCCCATCCGAGCCAGGGGGATGGCCGAAGTGCGGGGGGGGGCCCTGGACCCGATCTTTGTGCGGCATTTTCCGAACCGCATCGGTATGTGATGATCCTGGGGCCCGAAACCGGGCGAAAACGCCTGGCGCGAACAGCGACGCCCAGCTCCCCCGATCTCCGCTGGTATGATCCATTCCGCGACGAGGTCCCCAGGGCCAGATTTCTGCCCTGGATCCACCATTGATGGTCTCGGGGCCCCATATCGGGCGTCAAGAGGGCCGAGATCGAGGAGAAGCTTTGACATTGCAGTGGGGTGCACCCCATCCAGCCCCGAGTATCTCCAGCGGCGGCCCCACCCCGGTCGGCCAGGAGCAACGCCGCGCGGACGGCCATCGGTCTGACGCCCCGTGGGCCCAGGGGCATAAAAAGGGGGCCAGGGGAAGGGGTCCATCTAGGCCTCTCAGGTGGGGTCCGAGTAGATGGGGTCGGAGGATCGCGCCGCATCGCCGATGCGTCGCCGATGCGGCTCGATGCGGAGCCCGACTTGCTTCACGTCGACGTCGCCGCTGCATCGCCGACGTCGGCGATGCATCGGCGATGCCGCGCGATCCTCCGACCCCATCTACTTCGACCCCATCAAGGACTAGGAGGTCTCTAAAAAAAGGGATCTTTGGGAAGGGGTCCAGACCTTTGGAGGTCCAAGTTATGAAATAAGTCTGACGACGGGGGGTCTGGGTCCCCATGCCCCCCTCTCGGGTGGTGACACAAATCACGACGGGAGGTTTTACCATCCTCGGCCTCCAGTGGGGCCCATGCCGATCCCACTGGGAGCGTCAAAAGTGACTCAGGAGGAAGAGCGTGACTCAGGATGAGAAGCGTGACCCTTCTCTGGAGTCTGGAGTGGCTCTTTGGTGCGGGCTCACAGGGGCCCCCCAAGCACCTTCACGCGCGCTTGGATTTTGCCCCCCCCCCCCCCCCCCCCCCCCCCCCCCCCCCCCCCCCCCCCCCCCCCCCCCCCCCCCCCCCCCCCCCCCCCCCCCCCCCCCCCTCCCCCCCCCCCCCCCCCCCCTTCCCCCCCCCCCTTCCCCCCACTTCCCCCCCCTTTCCCCCCCCCCCTTCCCCCCCTCCCCCTTCCCCCCCCCTCCCTCCACACCGTCCGCCCGCGAACCCCCCACCCGCGGCCCCCTGAAGCCGCGCACCAAAAGGTCTCTCTCTCTCTCTCTCTCATAATCCCTTGACAAGAGGTAGCCTCGAGAATTGAGGGCGCGTCCGAAAACTGCCCGCCCTCCATCCGTGAAGCTGTTGACATCGTTTAAGCTTCTGAGTCATTACAGAAAAGACGTTGACACAAGGAACAGTCTGGGTTTTGAAGGGGCTCGATGTTCCTTGGGTCCTTCCGTGGTTGCTTCTCTAGCGCTATTCGTCCACGCAGGCGCTTTTGGGGCCAAGAAGGGGCTTCGTTCCTTACTTAGTGTTCTTTATTTCAGCAGCCCGACTGTAATGGTGAGGATAGCGGTGCACGTGTTCCTGCACGTCCACTTCGGCACGGCCTGCACCCCTGGGCTTCGCCCGCTCCGGCCGCCTGAGGCCCCGCCTTCCTGTGCCCTGTCTCCCTAATTAAAGCTGTGCGTAGCCCGCCTAGGTTTTAGCGGAAGAGGTTCGCTCCCGCCCCGCAGATCAAAAAGACTGTAATGGTGAGGATGTCTCAGGCGACACGCCCGGCCCGCCCTACAAACTGGCCTCGAGGTGCGACAGGGGTGAGCCCGTGGGCGCCCCCGCGGCGCCGGGCGCAGAGTCGCTCCAGTGGGGCGGGGCGGGACGCACCGCGCGGCCGCGAGGAGAGGAGGAGGAGGAGGAGGAGGAGGAGGAGGAGGAGGAGGAGGAGGAGGAGGAGGAGGAGGTAGGAGGAGGAGGAGGAGGAGAGAGGAGGAGGAGGAGGAGGAGGCGGAGGGGATCGCGGGGCGAGCCCCGGGGAACCAAGCAGCCACGCGCAGAGGGTGGTAGGGGGAAGAGGGGAAAGGCTTCCCAGAAGCACCCTGCTGATTAGAAGGCGCGGGCTTTGCCTGTAGATGTAATTCAGACCCGCGCCTTTTAAGAAGTAGCCTCCTCCTAAGGAGCCTTCCCCCTGCCCCTGCCCCCTTGTGCGCGCCGCCAAGGTCGCGGTATCTCGTCGACGCTGATGTTGGTCATGGTCCATGCCAGCCGTCGCCGATTAGCGTGGATGGTCTACGAATTGACGCTGACCCCGATCGACGGTGACCAAGATCGGCACAACGTTTTTTTGTCTTGGTCATGATCCCCATGATGTTCCAGGGGATCAGTCGGCGATGGGCGTTCGATCCATACAGTCAGTGCGTTGAAATAAGGTCCAACGCCTTCCCATCCCAGCCCTTTTTTCCAACTCGCGCGGTTGCTTCGGAGGCATCTCTTCAGCAGGGCCAGCAGCAGGAGGAGAAGGAGGAGGAGGAGGAGGAGGAAAAGAAATAGAAGGAGGAGGAGGAGGAGGAGGAAGAGGAGGAGGAGGAGGAGGAGGAGGAGGAGGAGGGAGGAGGAGGAGGAGGAGGGGGAAGGAGGAAGAGGAAGGAGGAGGAGGGGGAGGAGGAGGAGGAGGAGGAGGGAGGAGGGAGGAGGAGGGAGGAGGGAGGAGGAGGACGATGGGTTCTGCCGTGAACGCGCCCGGGGCGCGAGGCCCAGAGCCCCACGGGCGAGAACCTCTGCAAAGGGGCGCTCCCCGCAGCGCGGCGGTGTCGAGTTCCGTGCCCGGGTGGCGCTGGAGCGGCGCAGCGCGGGCAGCCGCCGGGCCCCGCGCTCGGGCACCCGGAGCTGTGCGGGCACGGCTCAAAGACACAAAACACACACATACACACACACACACACAAAAACACACACACAAAAACACACACACACACACAAAAACACACACACACAAAACACACAAGATGGGAAAGAAACACACACACAAACACACAGTGGGGAAACAAAAACACAGACTGTGGTTTTTCCCCACAGACTGTGTGTGTTTTCCCACAGTGTATGTTTTTCCCCACAGTGTCTGTGTGTGTGTTTTTCCTACAGCGTGTGTTTTTTGTTTGTGTTTTTTTCCCCACGAACGAAATAGGCACGGAAAGAATGGGCACACTGCCCAACGCCAGTTCCTGTTCATGGTGAACAGGAATCGCTGTTCGCGCCGCCGCGGCCTGTGTTCCACTTGGGACAGGAGGCCGCCCGCCCAACAGCGGCCGCTGCTGGTTTGGGGCAACACTTGTTGTTGGGCACTGTGCCCCTCTGTTCCGTGCCCATCTCGGGCGTCCAAGTGTGCAGGCACGGCCCTGCGCGCAGGCGCCCTCCTAGGGGCTCTGGCGGCAGCGGCTGCCAGGCTGCGGCGTGCGCGGCGGGCAGAGGGGCGCGTGTGACGTGCGCGCGGCCCCGGAGCTGAGCCGGAAGAGGCGCCATGGCACCGCGGAGGAGGCCATGCTGAACTCCTGCGAGGCTTCTCCGGGCAGCGCGCATCCGATCTACATCGACGTGCCGATCCCGGAGCTGAGCCGGAAGAGGCGCCATGGCACCGCGGAGGAGGCCATGCTGAACTCCTGCGAGGCTTCTCCGGGCGGCGCGCCGCCGATCTACATCGGCGTGTGCCGATGCGTTGCCCGCACGCGCGGCGGGGCAACCCGCGCCGCCACCTGCCAGGGCGCTGCGGCCTCGGCGGCGGCTGGTGACAACGAGCGCGCGCGCGCGCGTCGCGGCAGCGCCGTGCTGCCAGTCGCCGTGGAGTCCTACGGCGAGGCGCTCCGCTCGCTGGGCCTGCTGGCCGCGCACGCACGGCGGGTGCAGCCTGCGGGCTCCCTGGGCTGCGCCACGGCTGCCGCGCTGGCGCGCCGCCCTGGAGCGCATCGTCCACCACGCCGGCGCGGGCATCGAAGTGCCTCGCTCTCGGCTGCACGCCGACCGCCACCCGGGCCGAGGTGGCGCACGGCTGCGTTGTGGCCACACGTTCGAGTGGCACGGTGTGCTACGTATGCAGATTGAGTGTGTTGCCTGTTTCGGCAGTGTCCCAGCTGGAGCAGGAGGAGGAGGAGGAGGAGGAGGAGGAGGAGGAGGAGGAGGAGAAGGAAGAGGAGGAGGAGGGAGGAGGAGGAGGAGGAGGAGGAGGAGGAAGGAGGAGGGGAGGAGGGGGAGAGGAGGAGGAGGAGGGAGAGGAGGGAGGAGGAGGAGGAATAGGAGGCAGGGGGAGGGGCGGAGGGGGGAGGTTGAAGGGAGCCAGGGCGAGGAGAAAAGATGGAGCGAGGCAATGTGCGGGGCGGAGGGGAGGAGGAGGAGGTGGAGGAGGAGGCGGAGGAGGAGGAAGAACATGAGCAGGAACATGAGGAGGAGGAGGTGGATGAGGAGGAGGTGGAGGAGGAAGAACATAAGCAGGAACAAGAGGAGGAGGACAAGTGTAAACCCAAGCCGCACCAACGATGCTGCATGGAGCCCCCGCGAGCTCCCTCTTCATAGGTCCCGACCAGACTTGTTTTCTTTGCCCAATGTGGAAGACAAACTATGAGAATCCTCAACCGTGCCAAAACACCATTCCTGGGAGTTCAGCGGCGCGAGCCAAGTTGACTGCTGCATCAGGACAGTCCCAAACCGTGCCAAAACGCCCTTCCCGGGAGTTCGACATTGGGAATCAGCATGACGGGTGCGGCGTCCTGACAATTCTAAGTCGTGCCAGAAAACCGTTCCTGATTTTCCAGGAGGAGGAGGAGGAGGAGGAGGAGGAGGAGGAGGAGGAGGAGGAGGAGGAGGAGGAGGAGGAGGAGGAGCGAGGAGGAGGAGGAGGAGGGAGGAGGAGGAGGAGGAGGCGGAGGAGGAGAGGGAGGAGGAGGAGGAGGAGGCCGGGGCGAACGCCGCGCGCAGGCAACGAGTCCGCGGAGTCGGACGCCCTCTTCCCGGCCGTGCTGGCGTGGGCCGTCTTCGCGTTCGGAGCCGCCCTCGCCGTGGGGCCTGGGGCCACGAGGAGGAAAAAGGTACCCACAATTACCTCTGCCTTTCCCTCGTCTTCCCCCTCTTTGGGGCCTCTAGGGAGGCCCTCGTCGCCACCGCCGGATTCGCCTCGAAATTCTGGTCGGAACGCACCCCATGAGGGGGCTGGGGAGTAGCGGTATCGGTACTTGTTGCCGGAAATTGGAACATAAACATTACCAGCGGCGGGCTGTTTTTCAACCCCAGGACTTGTTTGAGGGTCGGGGACGACGTCGGTGTGCTGTGGTGTATACTTTTTTGTTTTCCAGCGAATCAACGGCACATGAACACACAAGGGTCCCGTACACACCAGGATCCGCGTGGATGTGCAAACTTCAGCAGAGGGCGGGAAACTGCGTCGGTGTATAGAGTTGGGCTCCCTATTTTGGTCTCCCCATGGGAAGTGTCCCCGAGATCGTTGCCGTTCTCTCACGCCGGGCGCCCAGCGCCCGGCGCCCGGCCCAGGGGCCCGCGCAGGTCGATCGGGCTCGAGGAGTTGCCGCGCAGAGACGGGGTCCGGGGTGTCGGCCGCGAGTTTTCGCGATGGTGCATTGTCAGTCCCCTCGGCCTCGCTCCTCCTCCTCCTCCTCGCTCCTCCTCGCTCCTCCTCGTCGTCGTCCTCCTCCTCCTCCTCCTCCTCCTCCTCCTCCTCCTCCTCCTCCTCCTCCTCCTCTCCCCGCTTCTCCCTCTCGTGGCCGGTGCTCTCTCACTCCTGGCATCAGGTGGAATCCTCGTGTGCAGCTTCGGCCCGCACCCCTCTCGATTGGGACCGCGGATCCGCGTCGCGATCTCTTCCTGCTCGCCTCGGGATGCGCACGGCACGCGCGCGAGCTATCGCCATGCTGATGTGAGTGTCTTCGTATACAGTCAATCCGCATAGTTCAGGAGGGGAAAAAACACACAGACACAATTAATCGTCGACCCCAAGGAAAATATGGGAAAATATGGGAAGTGGGGGGGAAGACAAACACCCAGATAATATGGCAAAATATGGGGAATCTCGTTATTTGTGTGTATGTATTTGTGTGTCCCAGGGCTCCTTCAATAGTAAGGATGGGCAACCTTCCCAAGGGCACCCTTGCATCCTTGCCTCCTCGGTCCATCCTTGGCCGCTTTCGCTGGCCAGCCTTGCTCGAAACACGTTCACGTGGCCCCCCAAGGCCCTTGCACCCGTACCGCGCATCCTTACTAGACGGGTTAGCTGTAGGGACAGCAGTGTTTCGCGACGTCGGATCTCAGGGTTGGAGCCAGGAGGACGGCTGAGGCCCAGCACCAGTCCCGGCCAGTAGAGAGGCGGGAAGGAGCGGGGCACCCTCGTCGCCACAGCTGGACGCGGCCCGAACAGCTGTTCGGCTTCGGCCCTGGGAGGGGTCTTGGGACCGATGCTGGACTAATATGCCTTCATCCCCCCCTCTTGATCAGACAGATCGTACATCACGAAGTTTCCGGTCTTCTAGGATTGAATGTAAAGCGGCCTGCCTTCAATCCGTGAAGCTCTTGCAAAGTTCTAAAACGAGTGTGCGCGGCGCTAGGGCGAGAGCCACATTGTGAAAACCAGCCGCCCTCAATCCGTGAAGCCTCTTACACATGTTTCAATCGAATGTGCGCGGCGCTAAGGCGAGAGCCACATTGTGAAAACCACCCGCCCTCAATCCGTGAAGACTCTTGCACATGTTTAAATCGAATGCACGCGGCGCTAAGGCGAGAGCCACATCGTGAAAAACACCCGCCCTAAATACAAGAAGCCTCTTGCACATGTTCAAATCGAATGTGTACGGCGCTAAGGCGAGAGCCACATTGTGAAAACCACCCACCCTTAATCTATGAAGCACTATGCACATGTTTAAATCGAATGTGCGCGGCGCAATGAAACACGTGCAAACTTATGAACGTGCGCAGCGCTCAGACGGGAGACAGCATTTCGAAAAAGCAACGGCCCTCCATCTTTCAAACTGCTGCAAACTTCGCTGACGAATGCGAGTGGCGTGGAGGCGAGAGGCACATTTTGAAAAAGGACCGCAGTACCTCTGTGAAGCTGTGGCTCGTCCCAAATTTCAGGACCCTCGGTGGTGATAGGAAGCTTTGGGCGAGACGCCCGGCCCGCCCCGCCGACGCGTCTGGGGGCGCGGGAAGGGAGGAGGCACTTTTCAGGAACGTGGATGGTTCGGGCCGGGCGAAAGGGGGGGATTGGGAAAGGGGGGGGTACGAAATTTGCTGCATGCAGCTGTTTTCGGCCCCGCCGCCGGGCCCAATCCTCGATACATGGGTGCCTCCGGCGCAGGGAGGCGCCGGGAAAATCAGCTACGTGAGCTGATTCTCAAACCCCCCCTTTGCTATCCCCCCCTTTCGCCCGACCCGAATGGTGACAAGGGCAGGGGGAGGGAGAGATGAGTGGGAAGACCAGGGGGCGAAGAAGAGCGGGGGGTGTCGGGGAGCAGGGGCGCGCCCCGGAAGGACTGCGGCCGTACCTGGTGGGAGACCCAGTGCTTCGGGAGACCGGCGCCGCCCGTGCGGCCCGTTCTGCTCGCCCCGACCCCTTCTGGGCGCAAGCCCGCGGCCCTCGGCGCCCGCGGCGGCCCAACGCAGCCCCCGGCGGCCCTCCGCGGCGGCCCTGCGCGGCGGTCTTGGCGGTTGGCAGCTGGAATTTTTGCGTTCGCGGAATTTTTGTTCCCGTGCGGGCCACAACCGTTTTTGTTTGTTTTTCTTTTCCTCCTCATCATTTATTCAGACGTTTGCTTTGAGCCTTCCTTCCCCTCTATTGTATTTTCCTCCTCTCCCTCCTCCCCGTGCAGCTCCTTCTCTCATCCACCATCAGTCAATCGTCTATCAGACGTCGTCATCCGCGGCTTTACGTCATTGCTAAGTCGTCGCAGTGGGCATGCAGTTGAGTATGATGCAGCTTGAGGTTATTGTGATGATGATGATGGATGATGGATGATGGATGATGATGATGATGGGGATGATAATGGTGATGATTTTGAAGCTGTGTTGATGGTGAAGGTGGGTGTCATGATGAGTACGGATTTTTATTCATATGATGGCGGGTATGACGATGGGTATGCATGCTGTAGATTGCCGTCACGACGGTGATTGCGATCTCGGTGACAGTGGTGATGGCGGTGATGATGGTGATGATGATGCGCCTGGGGGACAACGAGTTCTGCTTGACGTGAGGAGAACAGGAACTTCAAATGGAGGGGCAAACGACCACGGGGAACCATTGGTGCGCCACGCGCACTGGGTGTCCTTCATAGCTCAAAGTTGCCATGTTACAGGGATCATCAAGGACGGGTGCACCCGACAACCAAAAACACGCAAAGAACATCCCACGAACGCCCAGTGATGGCTCCAAGAGAGGCCCCAAAGCAACACCCAACATCGGCGGAATAGGCAGCACCCCCCGGGCCGTCGGAGGCGCAGGCGGCAGCCCTGGAGTAATTAGCGTTGTTTCTGCGTTTCTTTGCAGAGCTGCTAAGGACGGTAAGCACAGCTTCGACACAGAGAGGGAGAGAGAGGGCAAAGGAAGTATTGACATTGATGAAATTATGAAAGAGCTTAGAAAAGGGGAGAACACCAGGCCCCAGCTCACTGCACTGGGATGTTCGCGATCTGGTTAAGCACAATCGCGTGCTGCTGGCCGATGCGGTCGTCTTCTGCGAGCGCATCAGTGGCCATATCTTCGATTCGGTTCAGCACCGTGCGAAGCTTCGTCAGACGGGACTTGTACAGCGCAGCCCGATGCTTGACCGCCACGTGCTCCCTGGCACGTTGAGGCGTACAAGAATGCCAGGCGCTGTCTGGCAGGGTTTCTTGTTTCCCTCCGGGATGGGCGTTTCGCCGAGACATCCTCGCCAAATCGCGAAGGTGGGAGTCTTATCTTAAGACGCCTTCTGCTAAGAATCAGTGCTTCGCCTGATATATTTTCAGAAAATGCGATTTCGAAATCTTCGGCCCATTGCTTGGCCTTGTCATTTTACATTGGGTCGACATTGTCAACTTTAAAAATGAGAATTGTACCGCGAAAGCGTGGGCAGCGTAAATGGGGACCGACTCTGGCCCCGGGCCCTGTATACCCATCCGACCCCCATGACTTGTCATAAGGACGCCGACCCTGCTTGCGATCCCCGCGACCTAAGGCCACTAGATAGTAACTTAACCCATCATTTGGACAAACATGTCGTTGGACACGCGAGTGGTAATATTTTGCACGTGTCCTGTTTGTACATTTCTGACTCTGCTCCTCCTTCTCCCTCCTCTCTTCTCCCTCCCTCTCTTCTCCCTCCCTCCCTCCCTCCCTTCCTCCAAGAAGCGAGCATGAGGGTCCCAGGAAGACCCCAGAGGTCCCCAAGCGAGACCCAAGACTGCCCAAGAGAGCGCCAAGGTGGTCGGAGACACCCGGACAAATCTACAGTGTCAACGGACAACACGGGAACAATCACATTGTGGCCTACGGGTGTCTTCTTTTTTGTGTTTCGTTTTCTCGCAACCCACGCTCACAAGCCCTCCAAAGCCGGGGGTCCAGGCAATATCAGATATTTGTATTATTAGGTCCCTCTGGCAGCGGTCTTGTAATTGTCTTGTTTTTCCCTGGGGGGAAGGACAGCAGCTCTGGCGATTCCCCTTGTGGGGACGACTGACCTCCTCAACCTCCAGCCCACAAGGAATCCCTTCCCGAAGACGGGCTGGGCTGGCGGTTGAGAAGGTCTACGTCACCTGAAACCTTGCAAAGACCGCTGAGAAAACCGCACTGGCACAGTGGCGGGATTCGCCGAAGGCAGCTGGATAGAAGATGAGATCGCGAAACATCCTCTTGAAGCGACGCCTCATCGGCGGCTGCACCCTCGCCAAGAATTGCGGATTTGGCAACACCAGTTTGGGCGGCATGGCGGATACGGACAGGACTGGCCCGGAAGAACGAGGAGGGTTTCACCGAAATCCTGAAGTGTTTCACGATCCGAAATGGCAGCAGGTGGAGGAATGTGTCTTTTTCGTTTCTGATGTCGTGTGGTAGTTTCGAGAAGTGAGGAGGAGAGGAGGATGAGAAGTGAGGAGGAGAGGAGAGGAGAAATGACAAATGAGTCTGATCGCATTTGGGGGAGAAGTGAGGAGGAGAAGGAGGACCCCCAACAGGGCCTAGTGATTTCGGCAAAATGATGAATGGGTGACGGAGGCATCAGAGTGTGATGTACGTCGGGGGAAGAGGTAGGATGCTACTGTCTGGGGGGGGGTAGCAAAGCAAGACGAGACATCTTAAGGGACGCAATAGTGCCGACATCTGATATCGCTATCCATCAAATATCTCCTGGGGTGCGTTCGGACCATAACTCAGAACTCAAAGGGGACTCCAGCCGTGGCAGCGAGGGGAAACTAGTATGCCCGGGAAGGCCATATAGGCGACGTGATAGCGATATCGGCATCGCTTTCCCCCCAGAACTTAGAAATCTACCGCTTAGCCACGCCTAGCAGCAGTGACGAGTCCTCATTGCGTCCGAAAAGGGGCCGTGGCTCTCCCTCCTTCCTCATTGCCTCCCTTCTCCATCCTCCATCCTTCTCCCCATCTCCCTCCTCTCTCGCTGCCCCCCTTGTCATCTCTTTCTTTCCTCCTCAGAGGGCGGATCCCAAACAGCGTGCCAGCTTTGAAGCAAACGTGGACCCCAAACATGATCGCCAGCGCGTGGGTCCTCAGCAGATTCGCACTTTTGGGAAAGGACGAGGAGATCTTCACCCGCTTCTCTTTCTCATCCCTCTTCTCTGAGTGTCTGAGGACCCTGGGCGTGCTAAGCAGAGAGGCTCACAGCCTCGCGAAACTTGACACGTCGAGCTGCTGTATAATAGCTCGGCTCGCGGCTCTGCAGCCGCATGGTTACGAAAAGCTAGCCACCGTCTTCGAGGCGGCAGCTTTGGACTCCCAGCGGCCCTTGAGCTCGCTCTGCGGGATGATGCCCGCGGCCGGGAGCGCCTGGAACAGGATGCGCTCCAAGACGTTGGCGCTCTGAGCATTCCCAATCAATTGGCCCATCTTGTGCGGAGTCATGTCCATCTTGTCCACCAGCTTGGGGTCGATGCCCATCAGACGGAGCCGCTCGTTCACCGTCTGCCTGCGGCCGCGGGTCGTAACCCAGTGCCCCTCGGCCCTGGAACGCGTCAGGCAAGGAGACTTACCGACCATCCATCCAGGCTTAGAAGACTCAATGTCCATCACCAGGGTATCCTTGAGTGGATTCAGCCCCGAAGCAACGGCATCCTTCATGAGTTTCATGAAGCTTTGCCTGGCGAACGCCGAACTCTTCGGAGGCATGCTCTTCGCGACCTCCTTCACGGCGGGATCCAGGAAGTCGTCGATATTGACGCTGCCGATGTCGTCTGGCCAAGCGAAAGTATTCTTGTCGCACCTCTTAGCGATACCCACAAACCAAAGCCGCTTTCTGTTCTGGGGCACCCCGTGGTCCAATGAGTTGAGCAACTTAAGGTGCACATTGTAGTAGCCAGACTTCAGCTCACGCAAGCGTTTCACGATGGCTGCCAATGTTTTGGGATGATGGATCAGCAGGCCCTCGACGTTCTCCAAAATGAAAAGATCTGGCGTCATCCCCTCGAGCGCGCGGAAGACCTCATCGATGACTCGTCCACGCGGGTCGGCTTTGCCTTCCTTTTTCCCTCCAGCGGAGAAGGACTGACACGGGAAGCCGCACTCGTAGACGTTCGGTGTCAATGGTTGGTTCATGATGGCCCGATAGTTGCGCCCGGTGATCTCGTCGTACCAGCGAGTCTCTCCGTAGTTGTTCACCCAGAACTTCTTGGCGGTCGCGTCCTTGTCGCAAGCTCCAATGTGCACCAGGTCGTCGCGAAGGCCGAGGCCGTAGAAGGCGTGGCTGATCGACGACATGCCCGAACAGTCAGAAAACAAACGGATGCGTCTCTGTCTCGGCGACCGTGAACGGGCTACATTCCGGGTGGCCTTCGGGCTGGCCTTCGGGTTGGCCTTCGGCGCCCGAGGGCTTTGCTGCGCCGATTTGGCAGGCATGCCGCCGACGAAAACTTCAAGATGGTCCAGGCTTGAGGGAAGCGGCTATATACGAAAGCTGCTAGGGCAACCAGTCCGAGACTTCTGAGATGCACGCAGGTTCCACACGGTATTATTTGCCGTTGTTTGGTCGTTCAGGCGACTTCCCCAACGCCAAAAGGGCGAAGCCACAAGAACATGGCTCATCCACTTGTTGCTGCTGCTTCTGCTCCTCCTCCTCCGTCTCCTCCCCCTCCTCCATGGCCTCCTCTCTTGAAGGAGGATCGATGCGTTTAATGTTGGTTTCAACCTCAATGGTTAAACGGGGCCCCTCCTGACATGCATTGCTGTTTTGAACTTCCCCTATGTGTTTTGGCGTTTTGAGGTGCTCCAGGTTTGGTTTGACGTGGACGCCCCCCCAATCTGCAATGTTCAGTTTAATATTGCCGTTCTGCACCTTCTTCTCTTGCATTGCTCCGCTTTTATCGGGGTTCATCATCCTACATGTCAAGCATCCCCATCGTTCCTTCCCCTCGCCGACGCCGAGATGAGGCAAGGCCAGATCGCGCCGCCTCGGTTGGTTCTGGGGCACCCCGGGAGGACGAGGACGGCATGATATCGGTTGGGAGGCGGGCGAGCGAAAGGAGAGAGGAGAAGACGAAGGTGAAGGAGGCCACAGGTGGGGAGGTGGAAGTGAACGCGGTGGCTGAGGATGTAATGTGGATGATTTGCAATGCGTTGCCTGCAGTCTCGTGCGGGCACCTGCACGAGCGAGCATACAGTCGTTACAGACTGAACAGAAACTCCGCTGGTTCGCGCGAAAGGCGGAACACACTTCCCGGACAAAAATGCCACGACTGCTGTTGGCACGAAAGCCCAAGATATCCAGCAGTTGCGCAAACATCTCACTCACGCCGACTCCCCGAGCCCATCATCAAGCTCGCCGTCCTGAGCAGGGTCATCCAGCCCATTCAGGAGACTCTCCAGCGCCGCCGCAGCTGCGTCCCCCTCCTCAGCAGTGGGCTTCGTCGCCTTCCGCTTGGCCCTCTTCTTGGGCTCCTTCTTGGGCTCCGCGGTGTTCGGATTGTCCTTGCCGTTCGGATCAGTGGTCTTCTTCCTGTCGGTCTTCGGCTTCGGCTTGTCGTCGTCATCCTCTGGTGGCGTCATGTCCGCGACTGCAGATGGCTCGTAGATACCCTCCATTTTGGGATCGAAAAGGGCGTTGTAGGTCAGGTCAATCAGGCGATCCATGAGCCTTGTCGCGTGCTCCTCGGTGTAGCATACGCCGATGTACGATGCCTTGTGAGCGATGGCTGCGAGTCCGCACTTGTCATCAAGGGGGGTCAGGTGCACAATGGAAGTCAGGCCGAAAGAGTGCAACAACTCGCTGTAGAAGAGATATCCGTTACCGTGGTAGGCCACAAGCTCCAAGTTTGCATCGTGGCGGCGGGCTGGCTCAGCTTTTCCGGGCGCAGGGCCGCCGTTTGGTGTTCGAGCGTCCCCGAGCAGATTCTTCTTGTCATAGTAGGTCAGCTGCCACGATTCGTTCACGTCCTCCGTCACGACTGGGCCGATGAAATTGCATTGGTTGGAGCTCGTATCATTGGTCAACCTCTGTTTGGGCGGAAGTTGGAGAGGAGTCTCAGTGACCACGTGCATGAACTCGACCGTGTCGATCAGGCTGTCGTCGTGGACGCGCAGGCGGCGAGCTTGGAGTGACGACCACTCGTAGGTGATGTAGTAGATGGTGCTATCTTTGTCGAGCTTTCTGTCGTCGATGGAGAACGAGTTCAAGAACCCAGTAGAGTGGCCGTGCTTGAATGCGTCCAAAAAGAAGTACATCCTGTCTGGACCCACACTGACTTGATCCGGATCGTCATCGGAGCGCGGTCCCGCAATGGCACGAAGGCAAGAAGAAATCGTTTTCTGCATGTAAGCCGTGCGGTGGTTCGGAGTACGAGTAGCTGGATTGGACTTTGCCTCGCCCTCAGTCTTGCTGTTGTAGATGATCCCCTGGTACTCGTCCTTCTCGTACGTGCCCGAATTGATGCCAGCATCTCGAAGGAGGTCGATGAAACGTTTCTCGCTGTTCGGCACCACTATCAATGTCACTCTCATTTTGACCAGGCGTGTCGCGTATGCTCTCCACCGCGCCTTCGAGTCGGCATCCTCGTCACCCTCGAAGTTGTTCCCACCGTCGTCCTCCTCATCTGCATCGCCGTCAGCAGCTTCACTGCGGCTGCCATCTCCAGCATCCTTGTTTTACATGGCCTCGAAGATGCGGCTCTGAGGGCATTGCCCTGAGGGCCCTTTGAAGGCCTCCCTCAAAAAAGAAGAAAATCATGGTTCTTCGAAAAGGGCCCTCTGAAGGGCCAATGGGACCGTTGGGACCACATCCCCCTCGACCACATCTTCAGGCCATTGACAATCCTCTGTTGCCGCAGGGGCTGCTGCTGCTGGTCCGGATTTCTCGGCCTCCATCACGTCGTAAACTTTCTGCATCTCGATCCCAAGAGACCCATACCTCAGTGTGTCCTCGGCGCTCTTGCTGTTCTTGAGGCATTGGCGAAGCACCCCGTCGAAGTGGCAGGAGTAGATCGTCATCTCGATGAGCTGGCTGTACTTCAGAGTGGCCTTGGTCATCTCCGTCTGCCAAGCCAAGCTGATCGTCTTGTCGAACTTTGCCGCCACTGGGTCGTTGAAGCCACACGCGCTTCTGTAGGTGTCGTGGGATTCGTAGTGTTTCTGCAGCAACTTGACCTGATTCACGGGCAAGTGGAGCCTCTGCAGCTCGTCCCCGAGTAGTTCCGCCAGAAGAGTCTTTTTGAACACGAACACGTCGACAACGTCCACGCGCTTACCATCTTGAAGTTTATGAGCATTCATGTCGTCTCTCGACGCTGCCCCGGAGCGAAATGCATCAAAAGCGCTCGCGAACACCCACTTCATGAGCTTCGTGTCCTTCCCGGCCTTGTTGCAGAGCAAGTACATCTGGAGAATGCCGCTGAAGGGCGAATCGTTGCCGTAGAGCGTGTTTGCTTCCTGCACAATCTGCATGGTTGATGGGTCAGCTTTCCACTTGTTCCATACCGCATTGATATTATCCAAGAGGTTCCTCGAGATCTTCTCGCTCTTGTTGGAGAATTTTACAGTCTTGAAGAAATTGAAGAGCATGTCCGTCGTGACCTTGCCTTTCGTGCGTTCCATTTCCTCCCTGATATTGACGATCTCGAGGAATCTGGCAAATGGAGTTCTCTTGATTGCGTCAAGTTGGGTAGTCAGCTCCTCGCGCAAGTCGATAGATCTTTTCACGATCGCGTCGGTGTTGGAGAAACGCTCGAAGACGAAAGGTACGTTAAGTAGCAGCTCCTCCCAGGCTCGCATTTCGTTCGGCTTCGCGTTGCGGTCGATGGCGTCTGAGATGCCCCACAGCAGCGCGTGCACAGGTTCTTCCGGGGATAGGCGATGCAGGTTGCCAAGCGCGCCAGTAAACTCCATGTCATTGGCGAAGGCGACGTGCAGGTTGAAATTGAGCTTGGCTGGAGGCGTCTTGAAAGAATGCAGCTTGATCTCTGTGATACCCGTCTCGTTGATCGGCACGTTAGGCGAGGGGCGCCACCGAATGTTGTGCCAGAACAGGTTCCCAGCACCGCTCACGACGCCCCTCTCGGTACTCATGGCGAGCGAGACGCTTGACTGAGTAATCGGATCCATGGTGCCTCCTGCCTCGATGGATATAGGGCTTTTCCTCTGGATGTCATCAAACGCGTGGATGACCTTGGAGAGCATCGGCTCGAACTTGGCAGTGTACGCCTTGTTCACGTCACCGCTGAGGGCCACGTCCGAGGAGATCGACTGGTCGGTGCACTTCGTCGCTGGCGAGCCTCCGGATGATGGCTTCGATCTCTTCGCAGTCTCGGCGGCAGCAGGGAGAGCTCTCTTACCCGACATCTCGGAAGCAGCTATCTGAAAAGGCGTGAAGTTCGATGTCAGTTGCACGTTGCAGGGTTGAGCCAAATGACCACAGAGGGCTGAGATGTGGACGCTCAATCGAAAATTCCACTTAACTCGCATCCCAGTGCACACCGCCAACTCGCCACGTTGTAAGGGGTGGGGCAGTCGCCCCACCCCTTAACACAGGTCCGAGCGCTCAGAATCGCCCGAACGATGGGGCAAGACGTTTTTTTTCAGGTTGTAAGGGGTGGGGCACCCGCCCCACCCCTTACAACCTCGACCAAGGTGGTCCCGCCCCATCGTTCAGACAGATCTGAGCGCTCAGACCTGTGTTAAGGGGTGGGGCGATTGCCCCACCCCTTAACACAGCCACAGCGACATAGAAAGGCATTCCAAAAGAATTTCCCGAGCGCTCAGAAATGTCTGAACGATGGGGCAAGGCACGACTCTAAGATCCGAGCGCTCAGAAATCCCTGAACGATGGGGCAAGGCATCATGCGTCAGAGATCCGAGCGCTCAGAAATCCCTGAACGATGGGGCAAGGCGCACATCAGAGATCCGAGCGCTCAGAAATTCCTGAACGATGGGGCAGGGCACGATGCCGCAAAGATCCGAGCGCTCAGAAATCTCTGAACGATGGGGCAGGGCACGATGCAGCAGAGATCCGAGCGCTCAGAAATCCCTGAACGATGGGGCAGGGCGCGTGCTGCCAGAAATCCGAGCGCTCAGAAATCCGTGAACGATGGGGCAAGGCGCGTCCTGCCAGAAATGCTAGCGCTCAGTAGCCCCCGAACGATGGGGCAATGATTCCTAGCCACAGATCCGAGCACCATTTTGACGAATGTACCTCTCCATCTGAGTAACCGTTGCAACTCATGCTACCTGAGAGGCCAAACGTTCGAGGAAGTCTCAGACAAAACCACGGGATT